AACAAACTCTCAGAAGACAAAGAGAAAGTCTTAAAAATCCATCATGTGTAAGGGATCCTCAGTAGGGTAATAGAAGCCTTCTTATCAGAAACCATGGAGCCCAGAAATTGCTAGGATGAAATACTCAAAATGTTTTAAAAATTTTATTTACAATTATATTTTTCAAAAACTAAAGATAAATTAAGACATACTCAGATATGCAAAATCTAAGAGAATTCCTTGTTAGCAGACATACGCAGTGACAGAAAAGAATTGAGAGTCTAGAAATAAACGTATATATTTATGTGCAGTTAATTCTGGACAAGGGTGCAAGACAGTTCAATGGGAGGAGCAGTATAGCCTGGGGACAAGAAAGTGTTGAGACAAGTAGATGTCCACATACAAAAGAAAGCAGTTAAACAGCTTCCTAGAACAATAAGCAAAGATTAACTCAAATTAAAGACCTACATAGGAGAGAAAACTAGGAAATGTTTAGAAGAAAACATACGGTCAACTGATGTGCCTTTATTAGTCTGTTAGGGATGGCATTGAAAATACAAGCAACCAAATTAACTGGACATCACCAAAATTAAAGGGTTTCATACTTCAAGTGACTTCACCCAGAAAAAGAAAAGCTAACCCCCGTGGTGGGTGAAAGAAATGCACATCATCGTATTTGATAAAGGTCTAGTTGGCAAAATATATAAAGAGCTCTCCTAACTCAACAATAGTAAGATAGTCAATTTAAAAATGGACAAAGGAATTGAATAGACATTTTTCAAGAGAAGAGCTACAAATGACCAGGAAGCATCATATGGAAAGATGTGTAGCATCATTACTCATTAGAGGAATCGAAATCAAAATAAATCAACTCCATATTCACAAAGATTGGGATAACAAAAAGCAAACAGCCATAAGTGTTGGCAGGATGCGTGGAAGGGGCATCCTCCTATATGGGAACCATCGGGGAAAGGTTAGAGCAATGAGAACTCTGGCTTCAGAAGGGTATAGACTTAGATGGAGCCTATGTCGAGAACAGTAACTTTATATTTGGGTATTTTTGTTTAATAAAAGTTTTGATGATTTGGTAGCAATATGTTTAAAATTATTGCTGTACTAAAAATCACTCCATGTTGCTCTTTCAAATGGTGGTTTTGTGGTACCGGAATTTTCTCAATTAAAAATTATTTGGAAAAAAAAAAGGAATTCACTTCCGATCACTTGCACCTGCAAGTACAGGGAACGATGTAGCTGTGGGGTCTCCCAGAGGTCGGGGGTGAAGGAGTGAGGAAGGCTTCTACATCGATATCTGAATGGAAAGTTTTAATCACAAAATCCTCCCATCAATTAATTGTATTAGTTGTGACATCGTATTTGCCTTTTGAGGAGAAGCCAAACATCATCTTTTTGACCTAAGTGCCAAATCTCCATACAGAAAGACGAACTTCCCCACTCTTGAGCAAACCAGACCATTCTAATGCATTTTCTCCACTCTTCACAATCTGTACATACATCATTTGTGTCCAGCACATTCGTACATATGTTGCCATCATCATTCTCATAACACCTGCTTTCTACTTGAGCCCTTGG